GAATATTGAAATTCCTCTCTCATCTTTCTCCCTTTGTACAATCTAATGGGAGCTCTTCACCTTCTATTTGCCTTTCATGACCTGGAAGATCTTAGTAACTCCTATAGCCTTGGCAATTTCATTTTTCATTTCTTTGTCTATTACTCATAACACTTTCAAATTGCATCGGTGACAGCATAGGTCTCTAAGGAATTTTATCAACTATGAGAAAAGAAAGACTGAAAATTTAGATAATCTATAACCTAAAAATCTGTATCCCTGAAAAATTAAGATTTGTTAATGTTCCTTGAGAAAAGCCTGGAAGATAGAAATTGCCTTTTTTTTTTTTTTTTTTTTAAATGTTTCAAGGAGGTGAGGGATTTGGCTCTTGGTGAAGAAAGTTATAGCTCTTCCTGAAGGGCCTCATGAGGGCCAGCCTGCATCCATGTTTTGTTAGCTACAGAGAACAGTTTCAATGAGGAGACATTTAAGAGGAGAGACTTGGTCTTTAGGAAAGCTCTTACAATTCTGATTCCTAAACTTAATGAAACTGCAAATTAGCAAAGAAAAATAGTAAAGTACACACACATAATATTTTACAGGGTGCACACATACACACAGAAGCTTGTAAACGTTTGCAATAAACATTTGCATAAAGGTAAGTAGATTTGCATTGATGTTTCCAGAGAGTAAAGGAACAAATGTGATTTGTTTCAGTGCAACCCATTTTAGGCCAGTTTGGGAGCTTAATTAGAATATGGTTGACTATATTAGTTTTAACATGTATTAAATACCAGATTGAAAATGAAATAAAAGTCACTCATATGTTGCTGGTAAGAGCATAATTTTGATGACTCAAGTACATTAATTAATGGGAGAATGAAGAAGAATGGGAACAGTAAACCAGATAGGAATACGAATGCATTAAAAAGAAAACAACTGTGTCTCTGTTCCTATTGTATAGAATATTAGTTGTAGCAGACATGTTAAAAAATATTTTCTCAATGATTTGAGTGACAAATCAAGAGGTGAAATGTCAAAAGAGAGAGGGTTACACTTAGATTCATCTTTTAATAGGATTTGTATGTCAAGCGGATTACAATTTTATGAATCAAAATTTCCAAGATAGGTTTCATGTCTTTGGGACCAGGACTGTACTGAACAAGGCAACTCATCTTCAGCCAGATACTAGAAGAGAAGGAGTTTTCAGTGAGAGGCTACAACCTATTTTACTGAATGCTAAGGCACTTTAGGTTTCTCTGTTTCTTGAAAGACTACACAGAGAAGCGACCAGAAATTTTCTTAGGAAAAAAAATCTGTGGAGAAAAGGACCTGTTTCCATTTCCAAATTTATGCAAATTAATTTTTCAACTCACAAAATTACCAGCTCAAGAATTAGCATACACTGTTATAAAGTCATACATGTCATACATAAGTGGTATTCTAGAGAGGCACACATTTAAGGGCTGACTGCAACAAGCAGACATCAGGTAAATTTTCTCCTTCTTGAAATATAGGTACCAAAAATCATGAAATGATCTGAAGTGTTGCTTCAGCCCTGGGAGGTCATTTACTCATTGGACAAATATATATTAAGTGCTACTGCTGTGTATAAAACATAGTCACTCGTTTCACGAGAGCCTGAGTGATCAGAGAAACACCAGGTTTATTTGTTTTGTGTTACGTGTAATCTTTTCACATTCTTTGAAAATTGTTAACCTGTATTTTTAACTCATATGTACGCTAACTTTCAGTTAACCAGAGAATTAAAACTTATGACTCCATTTCCCAGGTCATTCTGTGTAAATGAGAACTTTCTATGTCTATACCCCCACGTTCCGTCCCCCATCCTGCTTGTGTAGGTCTCCTGAGACATTCTCTGCTCTTTTAGAACTCTGTGCTCTGCTTCATTTAATTAGAAGTGATCACTTCTAGAATGCGTCTCAGGTCAAAATGGACTCTGCTTCACTCATGACATGTTTAGAGACCGTTGCTCCCACTGTGGGGTGAGGTGACCTGAGAAAATACAATTGCCTTTTAAAATCCCTTCTACTTGTTTTGGTGCTTTAAAGCTCATGAAGTCCTTTCAAGGCCACCACCTTAGTTAATTCTCACAATAAACTCATGTGGTATATGTGAAAATACCATTTTCCCCATTTAACAGTGAGGCATCAAGACTCCAAGAGGTCTACAGACCTGCCCAAGTGGTGTCACTGGGACTAGAAGCCATTCCCTGCAGTCAGTGCAGAGAATGTGAAGAGTGGACCCTATGCAGCAACTTTGTACCCAGATTAGAAAGAATAATCATGACGTGCTTGTCAGGGTATCCATACAAATGTCAAAACTTGTCTAGAAATCTGTGAAGATGAAATGAGCACAGTTATGTCCGAGTGGACTTCCCTATGCGAATGTTACCAGACATTTACTTTCATTTTGCATGGCAGTAGAACTGAAATTGTGCAGAGAGTTTGCTCTACACCAAACACCGAACAATTTTGGTTTTTTGAGGGTGCTAGAGGAGCTGTCTTTGGCATTTAATAACAATTTTACAATGTGATGAGTTTATATCTCACATCTGGAGAGTGCTCAACTTGCAAATCCTGGACAGTTGTGTAAGCGCATGCTTCTTTGAAGGATACATATTACTTTGTGTCTGAAAATTAATTCAGGCCTTTTATTTCTAGCTCGCTGCTTATAAAAAGAAATTTCCTGTGACCAGTAAGAAGGAAAACATGGACAGCTTGGACATGAGCTATTCAAATTCCCCATCTAGCAGACTCCTTCAGGCCGGAGTCAAGGAAGAAATCCAGAAATCCCCTGTGACTTCAAATCAAAGGACAGCAGCCAAAAGCACTGCTAAATCCATTGCCCTGCCGAGAACCAAAAAGAAGCCCTAAGGTCCCCTCCAATGCCGAATAGTACGAAAACAGAGCTGTGTTTCCTAGTGCTAAAATGAGAGGGTAAGAGGGGAAAAGGGCTGTACTATGCCAAGCGTTTAGCCTTTTAGCTCCACCCAGCCCCGTGGTGTGTTTGCACCAGTTTAAAATTGAAACCAGTTATCTCCAAGCAATGCGGTGTTAAAGGACAGCCTCCGATCGGCGTGGTGGCAGGCTGTGGCCGAAATCAAGATGTTTCAGGGGTCATTTATAGAGGATCAGATGCCCTCAGATCAAGGCTGTGGGCGGACTTGCTTAGTTTTATTTCACATTCTTAGATTTAGGCACAATTGTTTATATAAGGGAAAATGAGAGACAAAAATGGAGTTTCCTAATAATTATGTGCACTTTGCACTAGAAGACTTTTATTAGGAAATTACTAAGCAACTTGCTATAGGCATAACAGCAGAAAGTGCTTCATCCATTCATATGTGTTCTTGTGATTGTAGGTGCTATAGATTGTTTAAGACAACTTATTTTAAATGTAGATTTTATAACTGCTTGCCATTAACTTGCTGCTAAATTCCCAATGTATTGATAGAATCAATAAAAGACAGATGTTACCCATGCATATTAATTTATATGTTAACAAGAAGTGAATATAATAAAGTCGTCTAAGCCCCTATGCAAATTATAAGCTTGGCCTGCTGCTACAAAGGGAGGTACACATCTTTGGGGAAGGTGATGAGGCTGGATACAGGGGAAAATACATCATTACTCTTAGTATTATGGATATCTTCTTCCACCTGGGCAAATAATTTTGCCATTCCAGGTCAAACTGGGTGAATAGATACTTCGCTTGGCCTTCCAAACAAATTCTAAAGAAACCATTTGCATTTGCTTTTACCTTTACAAAGTGGTAACCTAGTTTCATTGCACCCTCCCCCCCGCCCCCACCATGGGATTGCCATTTAGGCCTCCAAAATGACCCACACCTGGCCCGCTGAGCATGTACTAATTGCACATACATCTACTCAGTGGCTAAAGGTAATAGATATGCTTCCTGAATTAACTTGGAAGACACTGTTGTGCTGCTGAATGGGTCAAAGATAGCATAGACATGTGTCACCCCTGGCTTAGTAGTTCTGCCAGTATTTTCTTAGTGCCTTCAAAGTGCTTCCCCTGGGGAAACTGCCAGCCAAAGCATATCTGGTTTAAATTGTCTAGACTTTATTTTAAAACTGGAGTTGACATGGCTGCTTCAAGGTCTTTCTTTCTTACTGATTATTACTTCCAGTCCTCTCAGGAGCCCGTAAACCATCTCCCGAAGCTTTAAGCCTTCTCTCACTGGGTTTAGTGAGCCAGTCTTGGAAGATCAGGTTCTGTTTACTTGCTGAGAAGCCCAGCCTCGTTAGCTAGGTGATTTCCCTTCCCTCCCGGTGCTCCTGTTAACAGAAGGGAGAGCTGGCTGCTCATCTCCTTGTAGAAAAGCCAACCAAGACAGTGGTTTTGATTCTGTTCATCCCCTGGGCTTAAAAATAGAATATTCCCTATGTTAAAAATGCTCTTACTTGCATAGTAGGATATAGCCTTTTGTCTCACAGAGAATTCTGTTGTTAAATTGAATACTATCTAAATTTTTATCCACATTTTCCTTTGGTCTTAAATTAGTGATTCTGCTCAGTAAGCAGACCCACTGTCCTGCTACTATAAAAATGAGTTCAATTAGCTCTCTTCTGTCTAGACCTTTATTTTATTTACGTAGAATCATTTTGATAGAGACTTGGCTCACTCTTCCTAAAGGAGATTTTCATATTATTTTTATTTATTTGTATGGGACAAACTTGGGCCAGGCCATGTCTGAGCTTGGTTTTCCAACTGTTGTACCTCTTTAATATCGGGATATATGGCCTTGCTTTCTCCAGTTGCTTTCATGGCTGTGAAAAAAGTAACTCTTCTGTTTCAGATTGGTTTTCAGTGACCGATAGGCCAACTCTGAGGCACTGATAACAGTCACTCTGACATCTCCTGTGCACTACAGCGTGGAGGATTGGGCTTTGTAGTGACCCAGAGGGACACAGTCTAGGACAGTACAGCGCCCGTGTTATTTCCAAGGAATGCAAATGCTGGTCCACATTTTAACTTAAAAATAACAGACAAGTCAAGGCAGGAGGGATATGATAAAAGAGATAAATGCAGGTTTGGGGCTCGGTAGAAGTTCAGCTGAGAACAGTAGAAGACATCAGAGAAGAAAGGAAGAGGGGTTGGGGTAGGGGACAGAAAGAAAAAACAAAGCGTGTCTAATAAATAAAGAATACTGATTGGATGGTGGCACATAGTTCTACCAGATCCAGAAGCAGGAGGGACTTCCCTCCTAGAGCCGTTGGTGACTCCTGGCCAGTCTGAGGCAAAACTAGCCCTTCCCGCAGCCCATACACAAGCACACCCAGATGAAGACACAAGCCGGAGAAAGAAAGACCCGGGGAAATGGAAGCTGAGAGAGGCTGTGATTTTAAGAGTTGGCCGCAGAAAAGTCCTTACGTTTTGAGGAGGAATGTTATGTGGTGTTGGGAGGAGGAAAGGAGGGGGACCAAAAATCAAAACATTTTGTGCTTATCTCTGAAATGCTTTGTTTAAATAATTCTATTTGACTCCAAAATGTAAGTTCCAGGTTAGACGAATTAAAAGCGGCAAGTCTTGAAAATGAAGCTTTTTAAATTCCAGCCTTGCTGTTGGAATAGAGAATAAAGGCTTTGTTCAAACATGCATTCCCAGCAGTAAGCAGTTTTGAAATTGGCCAGGGAAGTTGTGTCCCATAAAGGTTGCACTTGGCCGGAGACCAAGAAGCGGTGGCCTCTGGGAAATGCCCCCGGGCTATTTTCCGTCTGCCCCTCCAGAATCATCGTGCCTGCTCTGCCCTCCGCCCAGGGAGGCTGATCTCTAAGGACTGTAGTAACAGGCTGTCTTGCCTCTGGGTTTGTGGGGATTCTGTCAGTGGGAGACACCAAAAGGCGACCACAGGGTGACAGAGCCAGGCCCAATCATTGAATCCCCCAGGGCCGTTGTGCTGGGCTGCTTGGAGTTTCCTGCATTTTCCTTCTATAGGCCTCAGCTCCTACCAGGAGCCTTCTCTCCCAGCCTGTCCCCTGCCCCTTCAGGACAAAACCAGGGGCTATTGGTTAGGGGTACTGTGTCTTCCTTTGTGGGTTTCCCTAAACTCTCTTGGCATCCTTATAAAGAGCCTCTTTGTTAAACTCTCAGCTACCCCATTCGAGTGTACCGTCTGGCTCCTCCGTGGATCCAGTGTGATTCGGATCCTTTGTCAGTTTTGCACTGTTGTTGACCTGGGGCAGTTCTGTCTGTGGTTGCCGATCCCCTTCTAAAAGCCAGTAAAGTGAAGAGCAGAAAACCTAAGTTCTTCCTGAAACAAACTGATGCACCTGAGTAGGAGTTGAGGGAGTGGGTGGCAGGGGAGCTGTTTCTGGGGTTAGAACCTTGACTGAGAAAGACTGAGCAAAATCTAGCACTGCCCCACTGAGTCTGAGAGTGTCCAGACCCAGGAGGTTTGTATTTAGGTCTTAAATTTGACCATGGCCTGTGGGAGCCTAAAGAAAGCAACACTTGACTTGTAACAGCCTGGGATGGAGCTGCCCTTGCTGTGCCCTGGCTGTGGACTTGAGGGCACATGAGAGGCTTCCAGAGGAACCTGTGGCACCAGGAGGCACAAGCGATCTGAAGCCAACTCCCTGGACTGTGTGTGCGTTTCATCTCCACAAGCGCTAAAATCAGCTTACAAAGCATTTTAAAGTAAAATTTTCACTATTCAAAGGTCTCACTGTAGTTCAGTTTTACACTTCAGGATCTTATATTTTTCCGAGTGAGCTAGCTTTAGAATTGGTTTTGATTTCCGTTCAGAACATTATCATTTAATTCTCATTGGCGAGCCAATTTTCTTTGCCTTTGTTCTTCAAAGGAAGACCATATTCAGTGTCTGTCTTGCATTTTTGTGGCTGCCTTCCTCAGTTGCTAGTATAATTAACTCTGTTCCCTCTCTGTCAGTTCTCCACATTTCCCTAAATTATCTGGAGCAGTTCTCAGCAGGAGTGGTGGGGATTCCCACCACTGCCCCAGTGACCTCACTTTAAGCAGCAGCACACATGTGACAGTGGAATATTGGGAAGATTAATAGGGCCATTGCAATGTCACCTCTGGCTATCTTAGAGACTTTCCCTCTTGATGGCCTGGTGCCATCCCGGACATGGTAGGTGGGCCCAATGCATACAGGGTGAAGACCTCAGAGAACTGCTTCCCAAAACAGGTAGTGGCTCTGGGCCTAGCTCAGAGGACCGGCCCACAGAAACCAGGCGGCCCCCTCCTTCAGTATAGACTTTTCCTCACTAGATTCTGTAGCATCTTCAGATCATACATATCCTTGGCATTGATACAGAGGTTACATAAATCTTTTCACTCTTGGGAGACTCAGACACATTCTTTGACCCTCCCACTCGGTCAGGCTCTGCAGACAAGATCCCGACAGCAAGATGTTGTTTAGGGAAGACTTTTCTCATCCGCACAGAAAGTTGTCTCCATCTCCGGGGCAGTTACCAGGTCCTAGGAGCCAGCATTTTCAGTCTGACGTGGGGGCAAGGCAGGCGGAAAATGGAGAACAACTGACACCCTCCCCAGACCCTGAGGAAGAAGCCAGTATTTCCTGTTCCAGGCATTGGTTTACATTGAGTTTACTAGAAATTGAAGTCCCCTTGTAAGCTGGAAGGGATCTGTCTTTTAACTAAAGCCCCTCTTCAGGTCATTATGTAACAATAGCAGCAACATTTACAGAGCACTTACCACACGCCAGACACCATTCTAAGCACTTTCTGTGTATTCTTTTAATCTTTACAACAATCTGTGAAGTGAGTACTATTATATAGACCGAGGAATAAATTAAGGCACAGAAAAGTTAAGAAACTTGTCCAACGTCACACAGCTAAGAAGCAGCGGAACCAAGATCTGAACCCAGC